GATAGTATGAAGCGGTAGAATTTGAAGAATAGCTCGAAGGACATGGTGTACCCATGTCCAAAACGGAATTTTTATTCGTTCTGCTTATTATGCAAATCAAAAAAGCGCAATAGCAAAGACTATCTGTGTGTATTATGTATGCTTGCGTGTGCTACCGAGTGCGGTTTGCCCGCGTTTTCAACTCAAGAACCAGTTAAGTAAGGAGCTGATATGAAAATGTCTCCTGCCCACGTGCCACTGCGTAGATTCAAATTCATAAATGTTCGAGTTTAAACATTGCGTGTTTTTCGGCAATTTTTGCTTTGCAACACGAGTTAGGATTTTCGAGATGAATTTGATGACTTATTGACTGAGTTTTTCACTTCTCTTCCTATGCCAGCATTTTCAGAGTCTTTTCATATTAAAAACCTTTCCTCGGAGGAAATCACTGATCATCCGATGATAATTCTTGTTTAAATCTATTGCAATTAGTGCTGAATCAAAGAAAAAGCCTCAGAATTGGGCCAGGGAGGATACCGAGATAAGACTTGCTGGTACGAGATTTCTTCACGAGTCCCGCCTAAATATCCAGTACCAACAATATTATCCAGGTAATTTATTTTGTTTTTTTTACCTTTTTTTTTGTATTGCCTATACTGTGTCGTCAAATACACATTGGATTTTTTTCTGTGGTGGATTTTAAAGGAAATATGCACTACGATACTTTAAAGGCACTGTCCTGACTATTGGTTTCAAGAATTCGGCGACCATTTTATTGACAAACTGTGAATATTTGCGGCGTGAGGAAAAAAAGCACTAGCTGGACATGAGTGACAACGTAGAATCGGGATGAAGGCCTGATGAGTGTATGCATTTTTTTCTTTTCAATATGCGAAATCTGACTACTTTAATGGTACACAACGTTATGGAGCTGTTCTCGCAATGAATCCACACCTGTTGATTAACATTTTCCGGAGTATTCTTTCCACTGCACTCTTGCCGCTCACTGCGCACAGGCTCATTCGCATGTTCCTTCTTCGGGATGCTGCACACGATGAGCACACTCGTTGCTGAAGCCATCACGATAGCCAATAAAAATATCAACCAGACGACGTGTGCATCAACGGCGTCACCGCTCATTAGCAAGTTAGCAAATTACAAATGAACAGTAGAGGCATTTCAGGGTGTTTTATACCCATTAGTCAAAAATTTTTACTTTAAGCTGTCTTTTTTGCATTTTTTGCAGCATCTTTTTTATGTTTTTTTGCATAACTGTTGCAATCCAAAAAGCATATTTTCAAGAGAGTGTCTGCGTGTGTATGCGTTCGATTAGCATAAGAGCTTTCACTAGCAAAACCCAGGCTGGAACGCACCAGGCGGGCCCGTGCGATTATGCGTTTTTGCATCGGACTTGAATTACTCAGGTCATTAACTGTATGGGTGGCTGTTGCTTTACAC